TAATAGCATTTTTCTTACATTCCTTCCATGAATTCAGGTTACCTTGGTGAGCTTTATGGGAACTATGATGCTTCCTTTTACATAGCTGGAGCCCTTGCTGTGCTGGCTGGACTTATTATGGTGCTTATTTATATCACAAAAGGCTGTTCCAAAAAGCCAGTAGTTGTCTGAGTTCATGTCTACTAATATTGTAATTCATTGAAACTATGTTAGAGCTTCCATATTCCTGAAAGTTTCTGTCCATCTGTATCCGACCCAAAGCGTCCAAGAATGACCTCAGTCTTTGGTGATCTTGGTTAAGTTCATTATTAAATTTCAAGTAAGAACGCTTGAGTGGTAGGAAAAGAAAAGTAAACAATTTATTACACAAAAAAAAAACTGATTCCTACAACACACGTTCACATTGATATATCTAACTATGGTTTATTCTTTGAATGTGTTCTACACTAGATGGATCTCAATGTAATTTTTTTTGTTGTTTTATTGGGTGGGATGGGGGTTGTTAGGGGCTGGGGATGTTAAATTAAGGAAAATGCAATTATGTTTATATAAATATATATTTAAATATATATATTAAAATTAAATTTATATCAGTGCTTGATATCATCATTTCAATGCTACATGCTGCCATGCTAATGTGTTAATGTTTATCTTAATTTCCAGTTGTTTTTTTTTCTTTTGAAAATTTGTCAAAATAATTATTTCATACAGATTTTTAAAAAGATGATTGTTATTCACATTTGTTTTGAGCATACATAACAAACGTATAACCATTAATAAAGCATTGGAATCTTATCACAATTAATAATGATAATTCTATATAGCTATTACTCTAGAACAAAAAATCGATTTTTTTGTTTTGTTTTTAAACACATTGGTTTGTTTAATTTCTGATCATATGCAAGTATTCTATTGGTCAATGCACAAACCAGCAATCCATTACCATTTTTTATTACAATTTTAATCTAATAATGTTTAAGGAACTTGTGGATGAAAAACAAATAGATCTTTGAATCCGTGTGGGGGATTGGTTGCCAGTTGGACAGTTCTAATATTATTTATTAAATGATACTTTTTTAAAAACTGAATGTAGTTACTAAATCATAAAAAAAAATATTTAATAAACCTCACCGTCCACAAATAATATTCTTTGCATATTCATGGTAAACTCAAACTAACTCAGCAACTAAGCAACTTTACAGGACTCAGAGATTTGGGTCTTCAGAAATAATTAAGTTTCAACAATAACCATGCAAAACATTAATTTTTTATTTTTTTAGTGAATGAATTCAAGGAGTGAATTAAAATTGAAGAGAAAAACTAAATATTGTCACCAATTGTGCAATGTTTATTATTAGGCACACATGCTCTAAAAAAAAAAAAGGAAAATGTTCTAAAACTGCATTATTATTCTTGATGAGAAAGATGTTGACTTAAATCTTTCATGATTTTTATTTACTGCTGCTCAATATTTTCAAAAATTTTGTTGTAAAACATTTTTGTATGTGATTGGCTCAATGCTCTTTATACACTAGTAGCTAATAAAACTTCAAAAAAGAGTCTTATTTAATCAGGTGCACATTTTCTAGCCCAACTCAGCATCTTTTGTGGACAAATATTCATTTTTGTAAAATCAATATGAGGCTTCTAAATGTCACCATGTTTCCTTTGTAATTTGTTTGTACTAAAGGCTACCAACTGATATTTAATTTTCCATTAAAAAAAAAAAATTGTTTTATTTAAATGGAAATAAAATATAAAATTTTCAATGATTAAATTAAATAGCTCAATATATATCACAAGTTAAATTATTTTTTTCTCATTCGAGTTAATAATAGCCTCCCTTGACTCTATCTTCAATGGCTAATGCGTGACATGAGACCAGAAGGAAATTAAATTATATTTAATTGTTATTTAATAAACATCGAGGACATGTTATTTAGAAATGGCTGTTACAAAGAAACACAAATTTAATCGTGGTTGATGGTCATGTTAAGTATTTATGTGCACATCTCCATGAAACAGGATAAGAGCAATTATTTTATTGTTTTTCAAAGAAATGACAAGAAATATTATCAAAATTTGAACTAAGCCAACTTTGGCTTGCTATTTCAAACTGTTATTTCTATGAAGTTCTGATTTATAATGTTCCAGCATTTGAAAGATATGAATCTTTAAACAGACATTTGTAAAATAGGGAGTCTGAATATATTTAAAGTTAAAAGTGTGGCAAAAGACCTAAAAATTAATGTAAAATTCTATGTATTTCCTACATTTATTTCAATAAATGTAAATAAATGAAAATGACTAATTTCATTTTTTTTAGCCTTGACAACATTCCAGAAATAATAACTAGCAAAGCCATAATATAATTTTAACCATTTTTTTAATCAATGATTTTGATTAGGGTTTTAGAGATATTTGATGTTTAGTTCTTTTAGTCTGTGTATATAATAAACCTAAATTAGAGAATTTTATTTCAGACAGAGAACTTGGACCAAAAAAGACCAGTTTTCCATACTGAGTTATAGCAAGGTTACAAGAATTTAAAAAGAATATTATTTAAAATAATACCGGGTGAAGTATGTGCTACACAAGAATGTGTCTCTGGTTTATTTATTATGTTGTTTTTTTTAAATTTGAAAATAATAATAAAGAAAAATATGGCTCTTTTTATATAATAATAGTAATACTTATAGATTTTAAATATTTGTTCAAGCTATTTTCGCTGCTAGTTATTTCCATAAGATTGAAATTTATATGAATGGAAGGTGCATAAAAAGATGTGGATTTCTTTTTGTAAAAAAAATTGTAAATCTCTTAGTTTATATTTCAATTGTTTATAATTTTTGTATCAGATTTAAGAATAATAATAATAAACAATTTTAATATAACAAGACAAAAATAATTAAATGCTTAAAATTGCATCATTTATTGCTATGCACCTATAATGTGATAACTGTAAATATCTGTTTTCTTTAAATTTGAGTGCATTATTTATTGTATTATAAAATCTTTTGTTGATAATAGTAAATGAATAGTTATAATTACATGCATTTTAATCTTCTGTAGTTCTTAGTCCTCATTTTACAATACAATTCCTGATGATAAAAGTTATCTCCCTTTGTTCTCTTTAAACCTTATATTTTCTCTTGTTGAGTCTCAGCAAAATATTAGAAGAGCATTATAACAAAATTATTAAATTTAATGGTAAAATAACATCAAGTGTAAGTAAGGGTATGTAAATATTACCGCTGCAGATTCATTTTTATCATTTATTAAAATTTTAAAATAGTTTAAATATAAAGTTCATTAGCCACAAATGCTTTTAAAGTAAATACAAATATCTATAACTTAAGGATTTAAGATCAGTTAGAGCTTGAACAAAAAAATAATTACCTAAAAGAAAGTATGTCTTTTTTTTCCTTATTACTTCAGCACTTTTTTGTGTATTTTTTTCTTTGCCTCTTCAACTCCCAGTGCAGCATAGGCCAACAATTTCTTTCCAAGTATTCCAAGCCTTCTAGTCTTTAGCTATCTTTTCTAACTCTTTCAATGAATAGCGTATAATGAAATCTGATCACATCACCCCAGGTCTTAAAGATCTTCATTGGATTCCTGTGAGTGAGTGCATTGACTACAAAATTCTGTCCCTGGTCTATAGCTGTATAGAAGGCTCTGCACCTATATATATTCAAAAACTGATTTCTAAAAATTAATCCATACAGCACATGCGTTCTTCAACACAGTCCTTACTGAGAGTTCTCAGTGTGGATGGACACAGAAAGAAGTCATTTGGGGTGTGCTCTTTTGAAGCTATTGTGTCTAAATTATGGAACAGTTTGCCTCAATCTTTGAGGGACATAGAAAATGATAAAGTCATTTAAGAACCATTTAAAGACCTTTTTTTTTCTTCTTTAAATAGATTTTAAGACATCAGAACTCTGTGAGCATGCTAAAATAGCATGGACACAAGCGCTATAAAAGTACTCAATCCATTAAGCTTTATTAAATCTTTATTGAATTCTCTTTGCCAGGTGTTTTCGGGTCTTCCTTGTCCTCTTGATCCATAAGGGTTCTATACCAATCCTTCTCTTGTTATATTTGGCTTGTTTTTCTCATGGTATGATTTTTTAATGTATGTTTCAAAGAACAATATTATAGTGCAATAAGGTAATCAAGGTAATTTGTTTTCTATGTCATTAGTTTCTAACTTTGTTGTATGATGGTATGTTTTCTGTCATTAATATGTAACATTTATGTATCATAATATGTTTTCTATGCCATTAAAGTGTAACATTGTTTTTGTAGCTATGACATTATGTTAACAAAATTTTCATATTTAATTACATCTAAGCAATCGCCTCATACATTTCTGAATTATTGATAAATTTCATGAGATGCCGTATTTATAAAAATTCTTTGTTATTAATTTTTAAAAAAAATGTTGAAATGCTTTTTGTTTACTTATTGTAATATAATCCCTGTTTAATGATAGTGTTGAGTGGTTGAAAATCATGATTTGTTGATGCATTACTTCATCACCATCAGACAAGAGGGATATTTTATTCGACCTCAATTTTTTAGTGAAGCCAAAAAAATAAAAAGCAAAATAGCTTCAGATAACAATGGAATTTCTTAAGATGAGATATTAACTGTTAACTGTTAATATCAAATCTAAATTATTTTAAAGTCTTAGTTAGGGAGACAATCAAATTAAAATTTTCCAAGATCCGGGTTTGCAAATTCTCAGTAGGCTTTTCAAGTCACCCATCACTCATTTGCAACAAGATGGGTGGATGAATAAGCACACAATAAAACTTTTTAAAAAATACCTCACCAGCCAAATTAGGGGGAATAGTGCATTGGCAGTTTCAACCATAATTATATGTACCAGGTTCAATTCAAGGGTAGTATAACCACAGTGCTAAGAACATAGAAAAAAGAAATTGTGCATTTGTAGTAAGCCAATAGAAAAACATTTACACAAAAATAACTTTGAGTAAAGCAAATAAAATTGTTTTTAATCCATTTATTGGAAATAAATTTGTGTTGCTTAAAGTGCATAAATCATAAGAATGTATGAAAATTGTGTCACAATAGGGCCTGTCTATTACTAAGCATCACCATGTTAAATAACGAAGTTGTCTTAACAATGGCAAAGACATTGATTTGTTCATTAAGATTGAAAAATATTTTTCTTTTTAAAAATCAGTCTAGGCTATTTAGGTTTCAGTTTGAAAAGAACTAAAGATTGCTACCGTTTCTTCAAAAAAATGCCTTTAGAATTTTATTGATAGAGGTAAATTGAAATGTAAAAACTCGAGAAACACACATATATTATACAGTTAAAACATTTAACATTGGTATGTAGGTGGTGGGGGGAAAAAATATACAGCTTCCAACTATTTTATTATTGGTTGTTACATCAAATATTGTCGCTGTTAACTTTTTTTGCTTTGTTTAAATGGCACAAAAGCACCTGGGAATAAAAAATATTTTTGAGAAGCACCAGTTCAGAAATCACGATTTTTAAAAAAAATCTTTGTAGAAGTTGTTCAAGATCACACATCCACTTTGTTCTAGCTTTATGGGAATGTAATCTTTTGGCTTCATTATGTACATTAAACTTTTGTCTTGGATTACTGAGTCAGCCTCAGACACAGTCAACTGGAACAACACAACTGGAGTGTCTCCATTGGACAGACCTTTTATTTTATGTACAAAGAAATCTGATATGAGAAAAATGTAGTAAAGTTTAACACTATGATAACTGGTGCTTAAATAGTATAATAATGTATTTTAGTAAGTCATTTTTCTTGTCTACTTGGTATAGATGGCCTTATCTCCTGAGGTTCCTCCACGACCGAATCCTAAAAAAAAAAACCCAGATGAAACACATGTTTTAATAATGATATTTAAATTAATTAGTTATCATTTTAAGGTTCATTTACTGTAATCATTATGAAAATGTGATTGAACTGAGACTGAAATTTTAATATAAACATGTTTCTTGATGAATCAAAAAGTACTGTAAATTTAAGCGTATTTAAAAAAAAAAAAAACTATTAATGTTATGCTTTATTTTCTAACTGCAAATTTAATTAATTTCTTCCAATTTTAAGCCTAACACACACACAAAAAAGATCAATTTCAGTAGACATTTTTTTTTTAAATTGTGGCAATTACAAATCTAATAAATATTTAGAATTTTGGCCTAAATGTGTTTTGAGTGATGCAATTGTTAACTAAGCAAGTTTAAAACTAATGAAAATATTTCAGACCTATTATTGAATTTTCATAAAGGGAGGTGCACTATACAGGTAGTAAGTTAAGGATCAAGTCTTATACTATTTTTATAATTATTTTAGAACTCTAAATCATAAAAAAAGTATTTTCTCCTAAGAGGGTTTTCAACCATAACATTGTCATAATCCCCCACTAATGATATGTAGGCTTATGTAACTGTAACAAGTTATTACATATAATTAATATTTGTAATGAACTTTTAGACAAGAAACTATTTATATTGTTAAGGGCTCACCTTCAGGTCCAAACAATGAGGCATAGCATGGTTTTGTACAATAAGGTTTCCCTTCGTGCTGTCAAATATCAGAGACAAAAATGGATCAAAATCACATTAATTTTTTTTTATACTATCGATCAAATATTAATTGCCAGTAATAGTTTTTGGGCAACAATGAAGAATTGAGCATACTCACCAAATTTTAGTCTTATAAGATCATAATTTAGAAACTACAGAAATTCCTCTGTTTAATTAATTTAAATGATGTGATACAACAGTTAAGAGAGTTTAACTTGGAAATCTGTATTTGGGAATTGATTTTTTTTTTCTTAAATTTAAATTCCACTAACATAACCTGTGCGCTGTTAGTTATGACTTTAACCCACCTCTGAATGGCTCCCGGGTGCAAGTGTCTTTTTACATTTCTCGCATCTCAGGCATGCAGGATGCCAGTCTTTGCCCATTGAGGTTTTCCTCTCGGCTGATAAGACACACAAAAGCACATTGTTAATGTTAGACAATGCAGGATACACTAAGGCCTCATTGTAAAAGTTTTAGGCAGAGTCAGAGATTGTGCATGTGGAAAGGTTAAGAGGGGACTGCAAAAGGGTGGAGTGTGTTCAGGGGCGTCATTCGGTTTGGCCCCAACGGGTGCGGTAAACCCATTGTGTCATCCACCCCCCCAATTTTTTCCGTAACTCCTACGCCCCTTCCCCCCCCCTCCCCCCGACATGAACCAAGTAATTCTTAAGCAGATCATACTGAATGGCCTTAATATGTTTTGGAAATTAAAGCCCTAAAGCCTAAAGCAACAAAAGACATAGGAATAAAGCATTCTTGCGGTAACAGCACGTGTTAATTAAACATGTGCAAAAAATATTCAAACATTACTTTTCATTGAAATATTATTCAAAGTTAATACTTGATCTTCCTGGTCTTCAAAGATTCAAACATGTCAATCATATTATCAAACCTTTCAATCACTTCATCAAAACTGTCAATCACTTCATAAAAATCAACATTCGTCCCTTTTCACTTTAAAGTGAAAAAACCGTTAGACTAGAAAGCCTGGAATGTTGCCATGACAAATTTGAAAAGATCCTCTTACATAAAGCAACAGGCACTCAAAGTTAATGAGAGTAATGAAAGAGATTCCCAACCCTTCTCTGGGGACACCCTGACCTGCTGCAACCCTTCTTTGGTGACTGCCCGTTCTGGTGGCAACCTGCTCTGGAATGTAATTGAGTTCTGTTATGAAACAGAGTCAAGCCAACTCTATCATATTTTGATTTTTCATGTGGTGTCACTCCCTGTGAGTCACACACTTGTGAGTCTGTCACACACTTGTGAGTCTGTCACACACTTGTGAGTCTGTCACACACTTGTGAGTGTGTCACATCCCTGTGAGTGTCACACCCCTGTGAGTGTGCCACACCCCTGTGAGAGTGTCACACCCCTGTGAGTGTGCCACACCCCTGTGAGAGTGTCACACCCCTGTGAGTGTGTCACCCCCTGTGAGTGTCACACTCTTGTGAGTGTCACAACCCTGTGAATGTGTCACCCGGTGCGGTCCGCACCTCCCGCAACCTCACAGTGACGCCACTGGTTGTGTGTTGGCAATCCCCTATGTACAGAACATGCAGACCCAAGGTATGAATTTTTGACGTTGAACAATAAAGGAAATTAAGGCTTTGCTATATATAATATGGTTTGCAAGTACCATGGTTTTTACATTTAAAATATATTGTAGTCCGTAATCATTTTGATAGGCCCTTGTTTCAGTTCGATTCAATTAACCTGGAGCGGATGTCTCCATCCGCCATCTCACAGATTCGACAGTTAGAATAGTTAGAACTCTGACTTCGTCATAAAAGCACACACGATGTCTGGCTGTTTTATTTGTAATTAGCTTAACCAGTGGGGACATGGCCCAGAAATAGACGTGCACAATTATAATATAGCCTCACGTGGTCAGGTCACCTAATCCAACTTGGCATGTCATCCTAGCAAACAATCAGGCAACCCTACTTTACTAGCTTCGGAGCTCTAAAAGTTTGGGACCCCCCCCCCCCCACACCTTTTGTTTGCCGAGTATATGTTACCTTAGCTCCTGTATATTTATGGTCTCTATCAGACATGTCTCGAATTTTAATAAAAAATAATGGGGCAGAATAGCAAGTGGTACAACTAACAATTTTTATCCTCTACCATTAGCGGCGTGGGAAGCGGGACGGACATTTTCGGCCAACTGCAGTTGTTTTTCTCCGTGGAAGGTGGCGGCTAAATTCTTGGCCCCGCTCCGGGTGATACCGAGTACCGAGCCTTGGCTGCGCCCCTGTCTTGTATTATAATTATTTATAGTGGTCGTGTAGCCAGAGGTAGACCTAGGAGTAGCAGTCATTCGGCCCGTTTTACATATTTTGTGTGTGTTTTTTTTAACTTCTGATTATATAAATGTTTTATAGTTCATATATCTTATTATGTTGATAAATTCAAAGGCAGAAGAAAATGTATATAGTATCATATATACAAACATGAGACCTCGTTAGGCGCAGGGGGGGGGGGAGGGGGAGGGGGGAGGCGAAGAAGGGCAGTAACCGTTGAACAATAAGACGGGGGATTTTTTTTCCCAATGCATTATCTCCCTCCAATATAATCGTTAATGAATCCTTATGCATAACATTAAGTAGGCAGGTGCCCGGGGATCTCACAATGATTCCGACACTGTTTAACTAAATGTTAATTTAGAAATTGCAGGATGGTGGCCAACATGCTTCGTCTGGTGGAACAGATTGCCTCAAAAAAAAAATCAACAAAAAAAACAAACATTTTAGGATTTTTTTCTTTAAACAGATTTAAGGAGACCAGAGCGCCGTGAGCATGCTAAAACAGCTCGGCCACAAGCGCTACCCAAGCACCGGGACTCAATCTATCACCATCATGTTGCATTATGGCGAATTGACGCCCGCCAAATGATTCAGTGGTGGGGAGTGGATTCATGGCCAAGTACAAGTAGGTGACTACGGTCAATAGCGTCACTGGGGTAGGCGTCACCAAAGTTCGACAACTCATGAAGACACACCCACCTCAATGGATCTCATCCCTTACCAGAGTCCAGAAAATGTTCTTTTGTCTTTGCTACACCTTTAGAGACAGCCGTTTTTGGGGTGGTCAACCCCTCTAATTTAATGTCACCCGGTGTGGTCTGCGCCCTCGCGCCCCCATCCACCTCGTAAAGATCACACCGAGCACCTCTAGCGAGCACGCGTGTAACACCACCTAGTGGCCCGGTGGATGGATGGATGTTAAAGTGTTTCTTTGCCTCATTAGCAGTGCTAATAGCACACACTAATTTAGATTATAGAGCAGCAGTTTTTTTGCTGCTTTTTTGACCAGCACACGAATGGAGACCATTCAGTGTAAGAGCACGACCACGGATTTTAAAAAAAATCATGCCAAATTAAATTATTTTCATTTGACCATTTCCAAAAGGTCATTTCAAGCATTTTTAGGTTTAACAAAAATAAAATAAATAATCCAACGAATAAATAAGTAAATCAGAAAAATTGATATCAAATCCTTTATAAATCTTGTCACCAGAGTTGAACAATTTTAGAACCCCTGACTTATTCATCGACCCAATTGCATAGGAAAACTGATACTATGACATAGGCCTACATTTCTGTAATCGAACAATTTTTTTTTCCTTTATATTGCCAGGTCTTTTGTTTTTCGACAAAAATACGAAACAATACAGGAGGCAGTCTTCACAGTTCGAGGAAGCTAACATGCCACTGTTGACCTGGATTACAACTATTTATGGATTGGAGTTCAAGGCGTGCTTGGGGCATTTATCGATACGCGTTGTTTGAACAATGTTTATTACTTGATGATGAGGCTGATGAGCTTACCATGCTGGGCCCCGAATATTCCATTTTCAGATAATGTTGTTTACCTGGATAAAATCCCATATAATGACAGGCCTTTTTTTACCTTGTATCTCCCACCAATACAATGCCAATATACCCAACGATGATAAGCTGCCAAGGTGGCATCTATCGAACATGTGTAATTCCATGATTTTTCTGTCAGGGCTCGTTCACATAAAGTTGTCTCGGCAGCATTTTGACTTGTGAACGGTCACATTGCACACCCCTTACAATGCACCATATCATAGACAGTGATTAGGGTGACGAAATGCTTATCCTCATTGATACCCCATCGTGATATTTTAATATATGGCAATTTAATTTTTTTTTTTTTAAATTTAAACAAAAATCAAATTTTCTGTCACATTGCGATTGCTACCCTTCTCTCTCTCCCCCCCCCCCTCTCCACTGCCGACCAAACAAACCCATCATTGACAACGTCACAGACGGAGAAAACATGATTTAATGCTAATATCCGTGGATACTAGAAATATAGAAACAGTAATATATATTTATATATAAATAAATAAATGTATACATATATATATATATATAAATATATTAAAATAGTAAAGGGTACTCCAATAAGAGAACTCATGTGGTCCATAAAAGAAACACGAAGACACGCCTATGATTTATTATGAAACCGCGCCCATGATTCATTATGAAACCACGCCCTTTCTCCAAGGAACCATGTCTTTAAGAAAATCGGGGGGGGGGGAAAACCTAAGGAAAAACCCGCCATTGACAAGAGATTTCAATTCTCTTATAATTTCAACCCGAAGCTTAACATTGTGTCAATTTAAACCTAAGGAAAAACCCGCCATTGACAATAGATTTCAATTCTCTTATAATTTCAACCCGAAGCTTAACATTGTGTCAATTCTTTCCCTCACATTTAACAGCTTCGCTAGCACTAACAGAAATTTAAAAAAAAAAAAAATGAAAAAATTCAAAATCCATTTTTAGCTATTAAAATGCCCCCACTGTTCACACAAATGAAATCCCTGCAGAATTCTCTTTCCAAACACCACTTCCGTTATTCTGAGTCAAACAAGACTACGCCCCGTAAACAAACAGCGGCCAATGCGAGACACCAAGACACACCGTTTAGTGTAAAGACTTTAAAAGAAAAGAAATGCTTAATGGGACATTTATTTCATGACAGCCCTTTCGACCAAACTGCTCCGTGTTTTTAATTCTCAGCACATTCCCTGTGCAAAATCCACCAGCCCCGCCCCCCCCCCCCCCCCCCCCCCCCCAAAGCCCAAGTTAACGCTTCATTTAACTAGACTTAAGAATTCTTGTCTTACTTTAAGTTTCATGTTCCAATGGTGAGCCTTTGCTTTTCGCCTTTCGTACACAACTTAAGGGGGCTGTTTTGACATTAATCATTCGGCATAATGGCGTTGCTTGGACAAGTGGTTTTCACTATCAAATATAAATCGTATTGATTGGTGGGCACCATAAACCAGATAAACCAGCTACGAGACCATGCACTGTGCACCAATGCGCAACTTTCGGGACTAACGTTTCAGTGGTGTGCACTTAGGCGAGGTTTTACTGTAATGGCTGAGGCCTGTCCTTGTATCAAGATAAGTTAAGTGGGTCAAAAAACGAGGTTAAGATCACGTCATGCACTTTCCCGCCTTACTTAAGTCCCCACTAGTCCCCCACACATTTTTTTTTCCCTCAGACGGTCTCAATCATTGGCTCGCTACACAATATTTCCATCAAAATAAAAATGCGCAGAGACGCGATGTTCGTGAAAACAACCAACAGTGTGTATGTGTTTGTGTAGAGAGGGATTACTATGATCTTTTCAGAACCCCTTCCCGTGTCACATACGAATGTTTTGACAAAATGAGATACTAAACTTCATTTTGAAAAACTATAACATCGGCAGTGGCCTGTAATCTGTATGTCATATGTGGGGGCTCACGACGCCAGTCTCTCCTATTTCAACGCCCCAAAAGGCACCTGGCAACACAGCTTCATGCATTCTATCGATTAAAATCGATCAATGTGTGTAGGTTTCAGGTTTAACCCTTACTTTGTTTCACTCATTTTATATTGTGCTAACCTGATTGCAGTCTCTACCCTGATTACAATGTGTAGGACTATGCAGAGAGGCCTACCAAGGGTGTGGCAAGGCCCACGCCGTGGGCGCCACGTGAAAGGGGGGCGCAAATTCGACGAGCCTAACAAAGACTTAAAGACTTTAAAACAATGAGTTTCTTTTTTGCTTATTCAAAGCCAGTTCAGCCGTACTGAATGTGATAACATGATTCACGCATATCTGGTTTGCTTGCATATTTTAGTTAACTTTAGGATAAATCTTAATTGTGTGATAGGTTTCTCAAGCTTGATAATGGTGCACTCTTTTGGTGCCATAGGGCACCATACACCCGCGGTACGCCCCTGACTATGCAGTGACACCAATGCTGCAGAGATTAGGGAACCTTTGCGAAAGAACAAGCGACTGGTTATGAGGCCCTGGAAGGATTATTTTCTCCGTCATGGTGGGGAGACTTAGCTGGATAGTAAGTTAAGTCATTAAAACTAGAGGACTCTGGTATAGTGTTTTAATATTATGTCTTATATGGTCTTAACGTTGTCCACAGTTTCACGTACTACTCAATTATTAATTTCACTTTTGGTTGTGTTGATTTCGTTTATTTTTTTCACTGAACAATCGTGAGTAATTTATTCCTTTCAGGGAGGGGGGGGGGGTCCCCACTATCCGAACCCCCCCCCCCCTGGCCCTGTGATAAGGACCCCAATCCCCCTGACCCTTTTTGGTTGTGTTGATTTCGTTTATTTTTTTCACTCAACAATCGTGGGTAATTTATTCCCTTCAGGGGGGGGGGGTCCCCACTATCCGAACCCCCCCCCCCCTTGACCTATGATTAGGACGCCAATGCCCCTGACCCAGGCGAACGAACCCAGCTCACCAACCTACCGTGGTCTCATGATCAAGGCACTTTTTGGGAACGCTTCGCCAAATGGAATGCAGCAGTACTAAAACCTTTCTGTGCGAAATGGCTCGCTCCATTGTTTGCCTTGATAGGCACGACCAGGGGAAATACTAGACCCCAGTTTCTCGACAGTTTCTGCTCTCTTTGAAACACGATGACGGGCGTCCGAAATTAAAGATTAAACTACAAACAGCAGCTCTTCATTTGGGGTCATACGGTTTTCTACCTGGACTTGGGCCCAATCTGACGACCAATCTGACGACCAATCTGACGACCTGGTGATGCTCAAAGATTTGAAAGATTGTGTATTTTAAAGTAAAAAAAAAAAGCAGACTATAACTCACCATTTCATTTTTGTTTTGCCCTTTCGATCTTGATTGCCCATCATAATTATTACAGCCTACCTTTTAAATATTTATTGCCCACCGTAATTATTATACCCTTTCAATCTTGATTGGCCACAGTAATGTTTATACCCTTTCAATCTTGATTTTAGATTGTCCTTTGTATTAATTATACCCTTTCAATCTTGATTGCCCATCGTTATTTTATACTATACCCTTTCAATCTTGATCCCCATCGGAATTATCTCCAGATTTAAACACTGTTTTGAATAAATATTGCATTTATTTCAACAGAGACCCAATGGTGTCCCTTACTTAAGGTATCTTTATTCACCCCAAAACACCAGTCGGATGTTATCTTGTCAGATTCAAGTTAAAGTTAAGTTGGAACTGATTAACGATCTCCTGAGCCTGAGTGCGGATATCTATTTTAAAAAAATTCAGATCGAGGAGATCTGGCAAAGTTTTCTCTCTCAGTCATAAACATCGGCTGAAGGGTTACGTCGTCGCAGTATGCAGGGTAAGGATACACTAGTTATGAAACATAAAGTTATCTAGCAGTGCCTGACACTGGAGTAAAGAGTAACGGTTCCTACTTCGCTGCCTTGCTGTATACTTGATACAACAAAAACCGGTCCGCATTCAATACGCCAAAATGTAGGGCCTGCAACTCTAGTGTACATAATTATCAAGAGTTGTCACGAGCGATGTGAAGTCTTTATGTGTAGTTTATAATTAGGTCAATGGCATTCCTGTTGGCTTACTCATATAAAACATCTGGAGTGTGTGGTTGACATAGCCACCATCGATTGGTAAGCGCAAGTTATGTCTACCACCTGCCCCCTGACCTGTTTTAAAACCACAACCTCAGTTTTGTGTTTGACCAAGTCATACAGCCGGCCACATTTCGCCACTTACCACCTGCCTGCCTTGTTCATACTAATTAAATGAGTCATCCTCCTAATATCTTTGGTTAAAACGTCAAGATGGCATCAGAATACTGATGGTTTGAGAGTCCCGGATTCCCGTTCAACGTTAATTTTAATGATCAATTGAACCCACGTTTGGGTCATGGGCGGAAAATTTAAATGAAGCCAATGTGTGATATGAAACAAATAATCGTAATGCAATCTTCTTATCATAGTCCCATATCTATATAGAAAGAGTAGGGGGCAATTGTTCAGAGAACCACTCCCACCAACCAATCTGACATTAGAACATGTCTTAAAATGGCTTTCAGTGTGGCAGGTGCTCTTTTATTTATTGACAGTTGTATCACAATTACAAACGATACACTCTTGTGTAGGTTTTATAACAAATGCGGTGCCTCAACCCACCACGGACATATTCTTGACTAAAAGCTGCTGATTTCCAATGGTGCAGGACGTGGAACAAATAATTAGAAAGTTCTGACAACGTATTGAATCCGTTTTACTTGTATTTGGAAAGATAATGGTGAGACCTTTAGGCCGGGACAGGCAGTGGGCTTAAGATACCCCCCCCCCCCGGTGGCTCCCATATTTAGCCTGCCAGGTAACCTTAATCGGGCCCGCCTTTTGAATCCCTTTTACTTGTATTTGGAAAAATAAAGGTGAGACCCTTAGGCCGGGACAGGCAGTGGGCTTAAAATACCCCCCCCCCCCCGGTGGCTCCCATATTTAGCCTGCCAGGTAACCTTAATCGGGCCCGCCTGGCTGCCATTCGGATACTCGGGCAGTAAATGGTGAACGAGTACCCCTGGAAATGCACATAAAGGTTGCTGTAGTCACCAATATACGTTGAGTGGTTTACACACAAGAAACTGGGCAAAGTCTTTTTTGTGAATCATGAGCACCAGCCCAATATTTCTTAAATCCATTTGTCACGCCAAGGGCCTGCATTGACAGCCCATCCTCATTCGTATAAGGAGAATTTAATAAATCCCCACATTTACGCTTCCGTAGAATGAGACTAATTTATTTAGTAAACTGAGTCCTTCGGGACCTACAATTATACGAAAGATCGGAGAAATGAGGGACATGTAGCATCAACATTTGCAAAACACCCCAAACAAACTTTGCTATCTTTCATTGGCACTCTGCACGCAATGATATTCGTGATTTTGCTGATTAGAGGAATTTGATGCAGTGAAAATCATCAAATTTGCAAACAAATGAGATGATTGTTTTCCAACTTATATAAAAATAATTAAATAATCAGCAAATCATGCTACTAATAATTGGTAGACCCGAAGGAACTTTTTAAAAATAAATAAATGAACGTACTTTTAAGTTGTATTTCCGCCTTTTTGGCTTGTTGCGCCAAAAAAAAATATTAAAAAATGATTAACCAACATCACATTTGTTCAAATTATATTTATTTTCTAAAAATACTTATAAATTATTTTCGGTTTAAAATATCGATTTAGTATCTTTTATTTTGTTATTAAACAAATATTTTACTCACCAAAATAAACCTCCTTTCCACAGCTTGGACACTTAGGCATGATAAAAGTACAAAATTGTGAACTTTTAATAAAAATGTATTATAACAAAATGTATGTAGTTGTGTAGCTGGAGCTTCCAATCTCAATATGAGCTGTGTGCCTCCAAAATATAAAATCTAGTTTGCCAACAGTGACTGAACGGTGGCAAAAATAGAATGAGACGTCGCCCTTTGCACACGATACGGAGAAATTGTAAACAAAAATTTGCGCACGGCTCCATAGAAGGTGTAGAAAATGAACAGTAACAATTGGCAGTGCATTAGAATTACCATGTTTGGTGTTTGTTGGGATTGGCTTTGAAAATGCCTGGTTTGTTTAAATTAGACTTGTTTAAATAATTTGAAACATATATGCAGGGTTTATTTTTAATAAATTCAGGGGAATATAGAAGAAGGAACTTTAACAAATATTTGAAATTAAAAGCGATCGAGTTATAATGTAGGTCACAAATATGGGAATTAACCGAGATATAACTCTTGTTTGTTTTCATCAAGAAATTAACTACCTTATTATATTGAACGCTACAAATTACTCTACCACAACGCACAACTCAGTAGGAGTCAGATGTTAGTCATTCATACATTTTTTAAAGTTAAACCTTGCTGTATATGTTAAAAATAAAATAATCTGGAATATAAAGTTCAAATCCGACTATTTTATTTAAAAGCTCAAAAAATATTATTATTGGTTACCACAACACTATCAAACACTGTCATATTATGACGATAATCCGATACGACCATCATATTTGACTGCAATTTACTGTAATTAAAATATCACTCGCACGAAGTTACGTACTTCTCCCCAAATGACATGGATTTTTACGTAATTCCCCCAAATGACATGGATTTTTACGTAATTCCCCCAAATGACATGGATTTTTATATATTTCCCCCAAATGACATGGATTTTTATGAACTTCCCCCAATGCCCTGGATTTTTACGTAGCCCCCATGCCATGGCTTTTTACGTC